TATATATATATATATATAAAACATGCAAATATTTACAAAAATGGCACTAAATGACATAAACATTGCATGTCGTTTTATGGTGAAAGAATGCAGAAATATGTTTCATATATCAATCCAGAATAAAAGCTTGAAGTCTGAATATGAAATGCTAATGAAGTAAAAGTATTTCAGTAAGAGGCCTTGATGAGTCTCAGAAAAGTGATTGTATATTCATCTAACTTGGTGAGCAGGGGAGCTAAGTATACTCAGAAGAATGGGCATCTGCAGACTTAGCATGTCCAGCTGCCTTCTTATAACATGATTAGTCCCAGCCTCCAACTTGACCCACATTTAAAGGGCTAACAGTTCAAGGCTGGGCAAAGCTGGGATTCTGTGCAGTCTATGTGACTGACTGGAAATAAACGTAACATGAATCAGATGTGCAGAGAGTAAAATAAACATTCTGTTGTAGAAAAACTTGCCTAATGAGGAACTAGCTCAATTCTGACAGGAGTGAGACCCCATGATATATGTAGACCCATTCTTAATATCTCAGACCTTTTTGACTGAGATTCTATTATTCTTTTTTTTCATTATTTTTATTGTGAACAATTCAAACATATTATAAAATTAGACAGAGTACTACATACTCATTACCCATTTTCAATAAAAATCAACATATATTTAATTGTCACATATACCCAGACTTTCTCTTCCCTTTCCCTTCCCTCACTCTGGATTTTATTGAAACAAACTCCAAATATTATAGCATTTCATCCATGAATATTTCATTATGTACTACTAAAAAGTTAAGATTTTTTTAAAAAAAAACACAATATCATTATCACACCTGAAAATAATATTTGTCAATAATTTCTGTGATAGTTTTTCTCCAAGAAGGTCACAGTTGATTTCTTTCCACATGCATGCCACTCCCCTATCAAAAGGTAAAGACTGAATATCTTGTACTAACCTATAATGGAAAAGAATCTGAAAAAGAATACACACACACACACACACACACACACACACACAAACACACACACACACATATATACATGTATACGTATAGCTCAATCACTTTGCTGCACACCTGAAACTAACACAACATTGTAAATCAACTATACTTTAATAAAAAGAAATTTTTTTAAATCAAGTGAAAAAAAGGTAAAGACTATTTCTCCACTTTCTTGAATCTAGGCTAGCCTATGACTGCTTAGGCCCATAGGTTATGGTGGAAGGGATGCTGTACTAGTTCTAGTCCTTGACTTTAAGAGGCCTAGATATTTTCATTTCTCTCTTGGGTGTATGAAGCCTCCACATAAGACACCTTACTACTCTGTTAGTTAAAGAGCCCATATGGAGAAGCTCCATGGAAAGGAAAAGACCATATGGAGAACTATATATGTACAGAGAGAGTGAGACAGAGACAGAGAGAGAGAGTGGGAGGGACCCATTTATTCCAGCATCATGAGTGAACCCAACCTCCCAAGTGTTCCCACCAAGGTACTCGACCTGGTGAATTCTCCACACGAGCTCATCCACCAAGTTATTACTGAGTGACCCCAGTTGACACTGTGTAGAACAGAAGAATGGCCAGCCAAGCCCTGACTAAATTTCTCATTCATAGAATCATGAATAATAAAATGACTGTTGTTTTAAGCCACTATATTTTAGCTTAGTTTGTTCTAAGAAGTAGATAACTGAAACAAGCCGTTAATATTATCAATGTATGGTCACTGTTCAACTTTCTTCAATTGGTTCATATATGTTTTGGTTACATTTGGTTTGTTTGAGTCAGGATTTAAACAAGTAACCCTGGAACACTAAAAAAAAAAGAAATTATGTAATATTTCCCATTTTATCAGCTGCTTTTATAGAAAATATCTGATGTGATATGATGGTTCTGTATAGATAGGTGATTTGGGCAAAGATTACTATCCCTGTCATACAGATGAAAAGAAAAAGATCCAAAGAGATTAAATGATTTAGTGGAAAAATTGTATCCGGAATTTAAACCCAGGTCTTCAACTTTAAGATTAGGACTCTTTCCTTATTACAGACCCAACAGAGCCTTCAAAGATCATTACCATGATTGGCTCTAGTAAGACTCATTATTGGAACCATAAAAAACAAATGCTTCTTCACTTCTCATTCTTACACCCTGAGATGAATTTATTTCTGAAAAGTATCCCCACCTTTGTCTATGCCACCTGGTTCCTAGTACAGGATTTTACTAGGATTCCTCTTCATTTACCTGTATTTCCTAGTACCAAAGTCCTAACTGAGCTCTAAGCCTCCAGACCTGCCTTTCTTTGGTTTCTCAACCATTCCATGGCCAGATGCATTTATAAGGTAGTTTATAATTCATCAACACACAACACCTTATTCTATGCATCCCTACCTTTGTTAATTCTGTTCCCTGTGCCAGTAATGGCTTCCCATTCCAACTTTATCATCTCCAACTACTTCCTACTCAAAGTCTCAGTTCAGCTACAGTCTTTACCTGGAAGCCCTCCACAAAGACCAACACCCTCCATCAGCACCACCACCAACCCCAGGAACTAAGAGAAGTAGACCTCAGCAGGGCTCCCATTTTCTTGTACATCTCTCTCCCAATAGACTGTAAACTCTCCGATGTCAGGGACAATATCTTCCCAATTTTTCAGTCTTCACTCTTAGCACAGTAGTCATCTAGATGTGAAATAAATGTTTGCATGTGTGGGATGGAAAGAGTTCCATTCACAGTTTTCACTACTCAAGGGCAACTCCAAGGTGTTGAATGCATTCTAACTTATACTTCTGCTAAAACAAGTATTCGAAATTGTCCCATGTGGGAGATTGGTATCAAAACATGATGCTTAATCAGGGAGCAAGCTCAGATTATATCTCTTTATTTAAAAATAACTTTTTTGTTCTCTTTGGATGACTACATATCCTTTTTTTTAATGAGAGGAATTTGTGACTTCAGGGATTTGGAAAGATCTCAAAAATTTTAGTCATGTTTTTCCAGAGTACACTGAGTACACACAGGAATCAAATGGGAGAAGAAACTGCAAAGATAAAACAGGTCCATATTTTAGATGACTTTGAGAGCCAAAATAAGGTTTTGAATTTTACTTTCTACATATTGAATTGCCCCTGGTGTTCAAGAAAGAGATTTTATATAATGATATTTTACAAGAGGATCCATTCCTTCCAGACCAAAATGTCATAAACTGGTTTCTATACTAAGCTTAACAGGATAGAGTTCTATCAGTCTGCATTATCAATTGACAGATTGTCCGAACATTACTCTTACTTGAATATTGGGAGTTAGATATAGGTAGACATAGAAATAAATACAGATTTAGATATAGAACCATATCTTGGATTCTGAGGATTTTTAGTGTTTCACAAACCACAAAATCACTTTATTTTCCAGAATTCTCTTTTACTAATAATTAATTCCTATCATTTCTCATAGTAACTTAAAACAAAATTCCTTTTCCATCAAATAACAGTAGTTCAAATTTACTCTAGGCTTTACTCTCAGTTTTTTATTACCTTTTTCAGAGCTGGTTAAATCAGTTTAGCTGCTATTTAAAAATAACTCTGCCTATTTTAACTGAATTGTGGTTATATTTAAGTCATTTTGTATCTCACGTGGGGTTACTTAGCTTCTCAGGTTCTTTTTAAAATAGAAATGGTAACTTGTTATACATGGGAAAAGTACGGTATATGACAAGGGAAATAAGATTTAAAATTGACACTTGCATGAGATAATGTATTTTTTATAAGCGAGTTAAAACCTACATGGTTAGGATTACCAAGAAATCAGAACTAACATGCTCTGACTAATCAATGGAAGATTGCTTGAGATACATGCTGCAAAGTTGATAACTGTGTTTAGAACAATCTAGTCTAAGAAAATTTACTTAGTAAACTGACTTTGAAATAGAGCCATTGCCTATATGCAAGATACTCATATTATAAGATTATAACCCATCTCTCCCTTAAACCATGCCTCAAAGCCCCATTTGTGGAGCCATCAAAATTTTTTTCATTCTTTAAAACGCATATATTAAGGCTAATTATGTTTCTTAGGTAACTAGATAAAATTTTTGTTTGACGTTTGTTCTTGAAACTTGGTCTAAAATCACAAACTCATGAATTTTTCTACTGAGTGGAGTCACAATTCAAGTTTAGTTCTTATTTTTTTCAAATAAAGTAAGACTCTAAAAGGTAAACTGTTTCAGTCTTCCCAATGCTTTATTAAGCAGAATAAATCATTGAGTTTAAGTACCCCTTGGTGGCTAAGAATCTTGTGACATCTCCAGATCAATATTCTGAACATCTTGCACCATTCTCTCTACACAGTTCTCTAAATCTGATGAAAGAGTTCGGGTGAAAATATATTTGTCCCAGAATATAAAATACTCCTTCAGCCTTTTGGGACAAAGACTCCTTTGTGTTTATTTTAATCTCATGTTCCTTTTTTTCTAATGTTAAAAACAGATTTGCAGGTGGGAAAATTTTAATTAAAGATTTGAATGAGCTGGATTTAATTTATCAAAGTTTAATTATAAATTAAATACATGTAAATTAAATATGACCATGGATCCAAGTTGACTGTTTCTGTTCATTACAGCTAATCTTTTCTTAGGTTTGAAAACTGAATTACTCATGTATCAAACTGATTTTATGATTCTCTATAAACAGCTATGTATTTTTATTTCTGAGTAGCAGTATGTTCCAAAGAAGCCAGTAACCATTCCTTAGTATCTCAGTGACAATATTTATTATTTATCAGTGAAAATTTTATTTGTCAAGAAATACCAATGAGGTTTTCTGGGGTCATATATACTGACTAGTAGGGTTTTAAATGGGTTCCTTTAAAGTATGTGTTTCTCATACCGACTTCACAATTACATGTTTTTTTCCCTAAAGGTTTTCTGTATAATTACCTTAATATTTTTACATGTTTGGAGATTAAATAATGGCACTTCTGTGTAGTGTATGATTTTCTTTTCCACATTCAGGTTCTCTCCTTAGGAGCAGATGTCCTACCAGAATATAAACTGCAGACACCACGCATCAACAAGTTTACAATATTGCACTACAGTCCCTTCAAGGCCGTCTGGGATTGGCTTATTCTGCTGTTGGTCATATACACTGCTATATTCACTCCCTACTCGGCGGCCTTTCTCCTCAACGACAGAGAAGAGCAGAAAAGACGAGAATGTGGCTATTCCTGTAGCCCGCTGAATGTGGTAGACTTGATTGTGGATATTATGTTTATCATAGATATTCTAATAAACTTCAGAACAACTTATGTAAATCAGAATGAAGAAGTGGTAAGTGATCCAGCCAAAATAGCAATACACTACTTCAAAGGCTGGTTCTTGATCGACATGGTGGCAGCAATTCCTTTTGACTTGCTGATTTTTGGATCTGGTTCTGATGAGGTAAGCACTGCTTAAGAATCTTACTTTCGGAAAGATTGAAATTATAAACGTGAATCTATTTTACCTGCAAAAGAAGTGGTTGCTTTACAAACTTCCTATATCTCACAGATGAAATTCATTTTCAATTGGAAATGCTGTAAAATGAAATGGAACCATTTGCCATTGCAAATACTTCACAATTCTTTCTATTTTTCACTAAGAGATAATAAAAACTATTTATCCTCTAAGCAACAAATCAACTTTTGTGACAAGTGTTTTATAGCACATAGCACATTCCCAGGATATAAAATTTCTACATAGTAATTTTAGGAATTTTAAACTGTCAAAGATGAAGATGCCGTTCTTTCTTAACTTGTAATTGTGGTTTGTGACACCAGGGACTTGCTTTGTGTTCAGATTATGTGGATGAGACATATTCTGAAATGTCTTGCTCAAAACTCTTTTTCTTAAATAATATCTAAATTGGAAAATACTTCTTGTGTCCCCAGTAACTTATAAAGTTGGAAGCTTTAAGGAAATCTGATAAGTGTATATAAAGTGCACTTTTTGATAGAAAGTCTGTAACTTTAATCAGATTCTTCTCAAAGTGTTCTTTGATCCCAAACAAGTTAAGTTCTCCTAAAGTCTCCTCCATTTTATTGCCACTGATTTTTTTTGTAAATAAGCATCCTAGATTCTGTAATGGAGAGATTTACAGAAGGTGTGAGAGTAGTTCTAAGGGAGTAGGCAGAGAAAGATAACCTTGATGTGTTGCTTTTTTTAAATTCAGGGTCCTTTTCTACCTAAGAATCCCTCAGCCCCTCACCATCTTTATTTTTTTTTTCCTAAGGGGAGATCAAATATCATAAATGCCCTCTGCAGATGGTTGCTCCCTGATCGATTAAGGCTTGAAGACAAGAGAATCCTTCTCTGCCAAGGGGAACAATAGGTTTAGAGATAAATTCTCTCCTACAGAACTTGCCGTTCAAAATAGATGAGCTAAGAGCAGGGCAATGGAATAATATATTCTTCCTGGATTCTACAATCCTTAGACAAAGTCTCAGATTTTACTCTCCTCATCTGTAAGGATGATAATATTACCTTCCCTTCTTAAGTTTTTTTTTTAATTTGAGACTCTAATGAGATAATATATATAAAACGCTTAGCAAAATACTCAAAAAAGTCAGCTGCAGTTAGAATAGTTGAATTTTTAATGGTAGTTACTCCTAACTTTTTAGAAGGCAAGAAAGTGAAATACTTCCTTATCAATATTTATCTTTATGAGTTTCTTACAATGAGTGAATCCATGTAATTATACCAAATAAGTTCTTACTGATAAACAATAGATTAAAACCTCACTCGTTTAAATTTTAAAATATATACACCAACAGCAAATTAAGTTCCAGCTTAGTGAAATGGAAGAATGGGTAAACAAATAAATAGGCAAAGAAGATTGTTAGGGGAAGTCGATTTACTGATGATATTTAATCAATAGCAATCAAATCAGTGAGTTTTAGAATATGCTGATTATAACCTTTAAGGTAGAATTTCTGGACTGCAGCACTTGATTACTTTAGTTTCAGTTACTATAGCTCTTTAAAATAATAAAATTTATTAAAATATATAATTCAGGTAATCATTATTTCAGACAGAACTTCAAGCGAGCTGAAACAAGAGAAAATTTTTGTGATTCACATTAGTATAGAATGAAATCATCTTGGGGAAAAATGATGTCTGGTTAACCTTCCTCATACAGCGTCAAGGGAAAGGTGAAGTTTGTCTCAGAGAAAGCAACGCTGGTTCTTCATTCCAAAGCTGCTCCTCACTCTTTTAAGATGTGCTGTGATGTGGGAAGGGTCCTGGCTTTGGAGTCAGACAGATCTGGGATTAATTCTCCTCTGTGCCACTTACTTGCTGTATTTAGACAAGATATTTAGCTCATTTAAGACCTCCTTTCTTTTCTGTGAATGATGAGAAGTAAGTTCTTGTGATTTCTAAAAATAAAGCAGCATACATGAGGAGATAGCACAGTACCAGGTACATAGTAATTGCTTGCCAGTTTACTTCTTTTCTTCTTCCCATCCCTTTGGATTAAAGTCCCTGTTTCTTAACGAAGTCTTCCTTTAAAAACTTACATGTTATCACATTAATCCATAAATACCTTAATTACTCGTTTATTCAACAAAGATGTATTGTGTCTATTATCATATAGTAGTTATTAGATGAGCTAGTT